AAATATATTGATGTTTAACTTACAGAATGCTCAGCTTGTATTTTGCCACTGAGGAAGGCTTTTTCACCATACCATGTTTGGTTCTCATGTTTGGATACATTTTGTACCTTTTAACCTGTATTTATGTATTCTTTTTTTGTTTGTTTTTTCCATTTATTTAAAATTTTCTGTATACATAATAAAATCGGTTTACATTTCTTATTCTTGTGAGTCATATTTGTTTACATTATGCAACCATACATAGAACGTTTTCCATCTTTTTTCAAATGTTTCTTTACTTTTACCTTGTACTGTTAAACTTAATCTGTCCATTTCAGCTACTGACAACATTTTATCTATTACGTCTTTTTTCAAAGGTATTTCCTCTTCTTTCCATGCTTTGGCTAAGAGTATTCTTGCTGCTGTGAAAAACTTGTATTTATGTATTCTGACATATGTCCTTTTATTACGCATAGGTACTTATATACAGAACCATAGACATGTGGTTGTATTGTGATTTTAATATTTTCTGATGGATAATTAAAATATATGGCATATTTTCATATTAGCGCTGCGTGTTTAGCCATATTAATTTTTGTCTCAACCTTTTTGGTTACCTTTCCTGTAGAAGGGTTAGTTTCTCCCTCCTTTTTTTGGTCTTACCTGATCTCCAGGCCCCACCTGGAGGTTGGCAAATCTATATAACAGCATCAGAGTTGGGGGGCAGGATTGAGATCAGGAAAGAGGGAAAGTAAAATCCTCCTCCCCTCCCCTCCCCTCACTCACTGTGCTGTGGCACCAAATCATGTGCACCTGCAGTTGCTCTTTGGTGAATTACCCCGTTTATGAATGTCCTGGAATCACTTTCTTGCCAGAATCGTTTCCCTGTCAAATCGATAAATGCTTGACTGCCTTTTAGCCTACAGATAAGAGGGGCTGTGGCTCAGTGGCAGAGCATCTGCCTGGCATGCAGAAGGCCCTAGGTTCAGTCCCACGGCACTTCCAGTTACAAGGATCAGGTAGGGGTGATGGGAAAAGACCTCCACCTGAGACCCTGGAGAGCCATGAAGTGGGGCTGTAGCTCAGTGGAAGAGCCCCTGCTTGGCATGCAGAAGGTCCCAGGTTCAATCCCAGGCATCTCCAGTTAAAAAGACCAGGCAGTAGGTGATGGGAAAGACCTCTGCCTGAGACCCTGGAGAGCGGCTGCCAGTCTGAGTAGACAATACTGACCTTGATGGACCAGGGGTCTGATTCAGTATAAGACAGCTTTATGGGTTCATGAGTGGGTTCACGGCTCAGTGGAAGCACTTCTGCTTGGCATGCAGAAGGTCCCGGGTTCAGTCCCCGGCATCTCCCGTTAAAAGAGACAGGGCAGTAGGTGATATGAAAGGCCTCCGCCTGAGACTGCTGCCAGTCAGAGTAGACAATACTGACCTTGATGGAGCGAGGGACTGAGTCAGTAGAAGGCAGCTTCATGTGTTCACGTGATCCTTTTGCATTGCAGTACAGAGGGAAAGTGTTATTTTCTGGGCCTGAGCAAATGGATTCCAGTTACTAGCAGTAAACTGCTCCTCCTCCCATGCCAGACACCAAAGCAACAAAATGAGGCTCCCACAGACAAGGTGGCGGCTTTTACGTCCCTGGGGGGGGGGTGCTCCCCAGTTATACCGAAAAAATATTCATTCAGAAATCAATCCGGAAGGGGGGGAAAAGAACCAAGACCCGAGGAGGCTCCCAGTGGCACGGAATGTTCAGAGCAGCTGAGAGTCACAGAAGGACAGGAGAGCCAGTGCGGTGTAGCAGCTAAGAGTATTGGACTAGTGTTGAGGAGAAGCAGGTTCGAATCCTCACTTGTGCCATGGAAGCTCGCTGGGTGTCCTAGGGCCTGTCACGTTCTCTCAGCCTAACCTACCTCACAGGGTTGTTGTGAGGATAAAATGGAGGGGAGGAAAGAGATGGAAGCTACTTCGGGTCCCCACTGGGGTGAAAGGTGGGACACAGAGGAATTAAATAAACAAGAAAAGGGTAGGAGAATGGCCCTTGAGGAGGAGGAGGAGGAGATTGGATTTATACCCCACCCTTAACTACCCAAAGGAGTCTCAGAGCGGCTTACAGTCTCCTTTCCCTTCCCCTCCCCACAAGAGACACCCTGTGAGGTGGGTGGGCCTGGGAGAGCTCTTTCGAGGACTGCCCTTGAGAGAACAGCTCTGAGAGAACTTGTGGCTGACCCAAGGTCACACCAGCAGCTGCATGTGGAAGAGTGGGGAATCAAACCCGGTTCTCCCCGATTAGAGTCCACGCTCCTAACCACTACACCACACTGAGAGAATCCAGGACAGGGAGGGGTTTTTTTGTGAGTGGGGGGGTGGAATTTGAATTGGCACCCCTCCCAATTCCTCATGAACTCAAAGCTTTTCCACTCTGAATGCCGAAATACCACCTTTTCGTGACTTGATTTCTCAGAACTCAGGAGGTGGCACCTAACTTCACCCAGGGTGATATTTTCAGCTGAGATACTCTCCCCTTCCCATTCTTGAATGTGGCCTCTTCCTACTCACCGTCAGCCAATACCCCCTCCCTTCCATTCAACAATAACTTGGCCCCGCCCCCTTCCCCATTCAATGGCAAAGTTAGCCCATGCTCCATTCATGGCCTCCTTCCACCCTGTTCATTCATTATCTCAGTGCCCCCTAGTGGAGGCTAGTGGAGAGAGTACCCTGCAGCCTTCTCTAGGCCTCCCGCTGGGCTATAAAACTGGGCTAAACCAAATAAAATGAATTTCAGTGGGGATAAATGTAAAATTCTGCATTTAGGCAGGAAAAATCAAATGCATGCTTATAGGATGGGGGAGACTTGTCTTGGCAGTAGTGTGTGTGAAAAGGATCTAAGGGTCTTAGTAGACCATACACTGAACATGAGTTGGCAGTGTGATGCAGTAGCTAAAAAGGCAAATACGATTTGGGGCTGTATCAACAGGAGTATAGTGTCCAGATCACGCAAAGTGATGGTATCGCTTTACTCTGCTCTGGTTAGACCTCACCTAGAGTATTGTGTTCAGTTTTGGGCACCACAATTTAAGGAGGATATAGACAAGCTGGAACGTGTCCAGAGGAAGGCAACGAACATAGTGAGGGGTCTGGAGACCAAGTCCTATGAGGAAAGGTCGAAGGAGCTGGGTATGTTTAGCCTGGAGAGGAGATGACGGAGAGGTGATATGAGAACCATCTTCAAGTCCTTGAAGGGCTGTCATATCGAGGACGGTGCAGAATTGTTTTCTGTCGCCCCAGAAGGTCGGACCAGAACCAACGGGTTGAAATTAAATCACAAGAGTTTTTGGCTAAACGTTAGGAAGAACTTCCTGACACTTCGAGCGGTTCCTCAGTGGAACAGGCTTCCTCGGGAGGCGGTGGGCTTCTTTGGAGGTTTTCAAACAGAGGCTGGATGGCCATCTGACAGCAGTGCTGGTTCTGTGAACTTGGGCAGATCATGAGAGGGAGGGCAGGAAGGGCCGCATCAGTGCTTACTCCTTGTGGCCCTTTCTTACACGCCCAGGGAAATGCTGATCACCACTTTGGGGTCAGGCAGCCATTTTTCTCCAGGCCAGTTTGGCAAGGGATCCTGGAAGGTTTCTTTGCCCTCTTCTGGGCATGGAACAGCGCTCACTGGGGGCGTGGGGTGGTATTTGTGGATTTCCTGCAGTGGGTTGGACTAGATGACCCTGGAGGTCCCTTCCAACTCTACGTTTCTGTGATTCTATATAACAGGAAACAATAAACCGAGATCCTATTTGCTGTGGTGAATTCTAGAGGGGGGGAGGGCCGTTTTAATCTGGGGCACCCCAAGCAACAAGGAATCCTGTGGCATTTTGAAGACTCGCACATCTGTTGGCTCAGAAACACAGGGAAATCCATACCTCCCTCCTCTAGATGTGTGAAGAATTACCTGGAGTTGGTAAAATGTTGACTTCTTTGGAAAACTTGCACACTTGCCTGGCCAAGAGACCCACTCGGTTTACAATGTAAAACGCACAACTTTAATGCCAGTAGCTCACACAGTAGAATTTTTGCTCACAAGACTCCACAGCATAGAGGGAGCATTGCTTAGAGGGGTCTACTGCTCAGGAATAGAATTTATCTCCTTTCCACGTGGAAGGTCCCAGTTCAATCCACTGAAAGAATCTCAGGAAACAGGTCTCCAGAGAGACCCTTTCTCTCACAGACCCGGAAGAGAGACCGCCAGTCGGACAACAGAAAGTTAGGTTAGGTGGGCTGTGGATCCTATTGGCCGACAACCCATGCTCCCTCTAAGCCGTGGAGCCTTGTGAGCAAAAATTCCACTTTGTGAACCACTGGCATTACAGATGTGAGCCAGTGATTCTCATTAGAGTGCTGCATCAGTTAGTTGGCTCCGGAGCCACCCTTCCTGAGCGGAGACAAAAAAATGTGTGAGCCGGAGGCTCAAAAACTGTGAGCTGGCTCACACTTGCTCAGCTTAGAGGGAACGCTGCCGGCAACCTACCCAACGAGACCAGCAGCGGCCGCCCCATTTGGCCGGGTACCCCAAGGTCATCCTTAGCCTTGGCCTCCCAAGCGGGGAGTGACAGATGTTCTTCCTGAACGGCTATTTCCACCAAGCCAACCTAGGCAAGGGGAAGCCAAAAATGCTTCCGGTTTTGGGTGTAACAGTGGCACTGATTTTGCAGTCTAGGAAAGGGGAGATCTTTTTTGGGTCTTGGAGACCGCCTAGGGTTACTTGCAGAGAACAACTGCCATCTAGACCCCCACTAGAGCACCAAAAGAGATCCATGCACGGAAGGGTTTTATCTATTGAAGGAGGAAGACTTGGAACCTTCTCTGGCCCTTTAAATCACAGACTCCTCCTTTCCAAGTTTACATTGTTTAAACAGAATGGTGTGGGGTTTTTTTGGGGTGGGTGGCCACACCACTTTAAAGTCCTGTGCCTGAACTGTTGAGATCACATGCTGGGTTGCCCTCTGGACGTGCCACCTCATCCCTCCCATCATGGCTGTTGGACGGTTTGACATGTGGAAGGACTACCTCAGCCTCTCCAAGGTTGTGGCGGAGATCCTCGAGGACCGGAAGACGGGCCAGCTTGGGTCCCCCGTCTTGGACACCCTAAAATCGGACGGGCCGGGGTTCCCCCTCAAAGACCCCCCGGGAATTGCGGCCCAGTGGCCCAATGGGAGTGGAGCCAGCGGCGGCAGCAGTCCGGAGTGTAGGACCGGTGGAGGGGCCGCCCAGATATGTCAGTTCTGCAAGCACAACGGAGAGTCCAAGAACGTCTACTCCTCCCACCCGCTGAAGAGAGAAGACGGGAGGGTGGTCTGCCCCATCCTGCGTAATTACGTCTGCCCGCTTTGTGGCGCGACCGCCGACAAGGCCCACACCCTGAAGTATTGCCCACTCAACCAAGGGAAGCAGTCCCTGTACCGCAAGAGTGGACGCAATTCGGCCGGACGCAAGGTCGAGAGATGAAGAGACGGCGGGGAACCGTGCAGACCCGGATGGGACTGAAAAGGGTGAAAGAGTGACAGAACAGAAGCACGTTGGATGGATGTCACCTGCAAACTGGGGACAGGAACAACTTGTTTTGGTTAAGTTTTTTATTTTTGAAATTGCTTCTTTCTAAAATTAAAAAAAGAGAGACTCTTTGTCATGAACGGTGAGGAGGCGGAAGATGGAAGCAGTTTGATGTGTTTTGAAATCATTGTGTGATTCCCTCCAAAAGCAGCCTTTCCCAGGCTGAAAGAGAGAGAATGTGTTTCTTCCCAGAAAAGAAATCAGGATGTAAATGTGTAGGTTTGAAAATCTTGTTAATTAGGTGGGTTGTCTGATAGATCATGAAGACTGCATGCTTTGGAAGCAAAAGGTGGGGAAGGGCTATTCTAAGTTTTTCAGTTTTGTATCAACGAGGAAAACACGTTTCTATCATTTGAAAATAATGTTTAAAAAACGCTTTCAACGAAAATTGACATCCCACCCACCCCCCTTCTTGTGTAACCCCCCGGGAGGACGTTGCTTTGAATGTGTGAGTTGATTATTATGATTCTCTAGTGGCAAGTTAGATGTCGGTTTGTTCAGTTTAATAAACAGGGTTTTATTGTTCTTGCAGCCAACTGTTGACTGTTTTTTCATCGCTAGGAGGAGTGTTTCCTCAGTGGGTCGCCTGCAAAGGACTCGTTTGGTCAGCAGCTCTGTCATAGAAATATCGATCTGGAACTAGGCCCCCGCTTAGACTCAAATTATACAGGGTGTGTGTGGGTGTGTGTGTGGGTGAAGGGCAGGCAGGCCAGCAAGAAGTGTTCGATCCGCTCCCCTCCTGGGCCATCGATCGGATCAGAAATTTGGTACAGGCTCCACCAGAATGTTTCTCATTTTCACACCTACACACCCACCAGCAGGGACTGAAAGGAGCCTCAAGCGGTACCCCGCCAGTTTGACCTTTGTCCAATAAGACTTCCCAGGGAATATGTTTGGGGGTTCTCTTTGTGTTTTAGAATGGGAGCTTTTATTGGCATACGATGGGTACATGCACCGTATCGGCGTACCAATATGTAGTGTTTCCAGCTCTGGGTTGGGAGCTACCAGAAGATTTGGGGGGGGGGGTGGAGACGAGAGGGAACTCAACAGGGCACAATGCCATAGAGCCCGCCCTCCAAAGCAGCCATCTTCCCCAGGGGAACTGATCTCTGTCTCCTGGAGATGGCTTGTAATAGTGAGAGATCTCCAGGCCCCAGCTGGAGTTTAGGAAGCCTACCAATATGGAACACACCCTGGCAAGGCAGAAGGATCGTTGAGCATGACAAAGAGGGTCAAAGGCCAGCAATTTTTAATTTTAAAAAAAAGATTATTATAAATGTTCTGGAGCAGTGTTCCCTCTAAGCTGAGTGAGTGTGAGCGAGCTCACAGTTTCTTAGCCTCCGGCTCGCATGTTGTTGTCTGAGCTCAGGAAGGATGCGGCTTCAGAGCAAACCGATTGATGCAGCAGCCAAAATCGCTCACTCACAACTTTCATGCCAGGAGCTCACAAAACAGGATTTTTGCTCACAAAGACTCCACAGCTTAGAGGGAGCATGGGTTCTAGAAGTTTCTAGAATTATAAGCCCACTTCTCCTTGCATGAAGTCTTCCAAAAAGGGGGACAGCCTTCTTGGATGGATGCTTTTGCTGGTCCTACAAAAGACACATTATTCCGTCCATGAATGTTAGCTGCATAATTATACCGGGCTTATAATTCTAGAAACTCCTGTTGGGGCTTGACTTTTAAAACATTGATGCAAAATTGTCTGGTAGTTCACAATCTGTATGTTATTGCTTATTGAATGTAATGAATATTTATACCTGACTAGGATGAAATAATGAGACACTAGGCACTTTACTAAATGATGACCATAAATAGAACACATTGTGAAAAGTACTGGGTTCGCCGCATAGAGGACTCGGACGAAGACATGCGGTTGCACACGTTTATTGCGTACTTAACATAAGACACACAACGGCCCTGCAAGGCCAACTATATACACTCCTGTCCCCGGGCCGCCCACTCCATTGGAGGGTTTGAATTTCCCGTCAAGAAGCCTATTGATCAGCTAGGGGGGGAACTAGGATCCGAGGTCCTATTGTCCTGGGGAGCCAAGCTCCTGTCTTTCTTGCGGGCGCCTCGTGGCGGGCTGCATACATAACACATTGGTTTGCTAAAAGGTTTTTGCAGTGTATATTTATTTGTTACTAGACTCTAACACTGCAGCTCGGGTTGCTTCAGCCTCCTGGTGGGGCCTGGGGATCCCTCGGAATTACAGACCCTCTCCAAACTACAGAGATCAGTTCCCCTGGGGAAAATTGATGCTTTGGAGGGTGGACTCTACGGCACTGCACCCCACTGAGGGCCCTGTCCACCCCAGGCTCCATGCCCAAAGCTCCAGGAGTTTCCCAACCTGGATCTGGCAACCCGATCCCTACCAGTGGCGGGCGGGGGGGGACCTGGCTACCCCAGTGCAGGATTATAAGGTTGGCAGGTTAGGGTTAGGAGATTCCTCTAGATTTGGGGGGTGGAGATTGGGGGGAGGGCGAGAAGAGGGGAAACAAAAAGCTGCGCCCCAAACCTCTCAAACTGGAGGGAAGACAAAAAAAGTGGCTTCGCTGTCTCTTAGAACAAAACCATAGTCCCAGAAAAAAAAAAATTAAAGGACTTCCCAGCGTGGTGCAGTGGTGTCAGACTAGGATCTTGAGAGGCCTGGGTTCAGATTTCCTCTCTGCCATGTAAGCTTGCTGGGTGACCTTGACCGGTCACTCTCTCAAGGTGTCCATCACCAAAGGGAAAGGAGAAAGATGTAAGTCCCTTTGGGTTCCCATTGCAGAAAAAAGGCAGGAGAAAGTAGCGTATAAATCACGTTCAATAAATAAAAGCAAACACCAAGAACCCCCCTCCCCCGCATACCGTTGGTTTCATAACAACAATAAACATTTAGTTTTTATTTTATTTATTGACAGTCCTAATTGAGATTTTAAATTGTGGTCTCTTTTTTTGTGTGTGCGTTAAACAATCTTGCTTTATTTACATTAGGGTTGCCAAGTCTGGTTTGGGAAATACCTGGAGACTTTGGGGGTGGAGCCAGGAGAGGGCGGGGTTTGGGGGAGGGGAGGGGCCTCAGCACAGTACAATGCCATTGAGTCCACCCTCCAAAGCAGGGGAGCTGATCTCTTTCGGCTGGGGAT